GAGGCTGTACGCATTGTGGAATCACAGCTTTTGTCACGCGTGACGACAAATGTATTCTGGACAAGTGGTGTAAGTAACAGATGCTCCTTATTTCTTTGTTCACTTTGTACTAGGAAAATGGCTCCCTTTGGCGGACAGGTTGTTCGCGACATGATCGTCACGCATGCACAAGGCGACCATAGCGTTTCTAAAGCTGCTGTCGCCGGTTACTTCAAATATACTGGATTGACCCGGGTGACCAATAGCAATGTCATAAGGCACCTGGAGACTAGAGGGAGAGGGCACATTCGGCACGCCGCAGAAGGTTGAAGGTGATCAAAATGGTGCAAGGACTCAGCTGTCGGCCGGTGAAGGCGACCGAAGGCAGAGTTGGCATATCACAGCGCCTGCTAGCGAAGGTTTTCGCGTATCAGGATAGGGTGCCAATAGACTGCTTCTTGAGAGGAGAAGCTTTTAGAGGCTTGCGATCCATGGCTGAAAGTTGTGCTAAATTTCTGTGGCTCAACAGTAGTTAAATTTGCTTTTTATGCCATTTTGTTCTGTACAAATAGCTTTAGAATTCAAAAAAATTATACAGTTACTATGGGAAATTTATAGATGGGGTTGTGATAAAAAACTTTCAACAAGTTGTGTTTAGTCCTTTTTTTATTTAGCTTGCCCAATCCATGTTGGACCGGTTAAATCCAACTTTGCGAAACTGAATGTGCAAGTGGTGTGGTGCTTCTAATTCGCTCGCGCAATTTTGGGCTTTGTGAAATTTCCTCTGTTTGAGACGACGCAAACCGCGTGACGTTGGTGAATGGTGCTGCTCTGTAGACCAGGAAACTCTTGCTGGCTGTTAAATATCTGTTCATTTACCATGCCTCTCGATAACTACGTCTTCCCATACATCCTGTATCCGGGAGCGCTTCTGACAGGGGCCCCACGGGTCGACGCCGAGAACGCTGTTTTGTTTGCTGCTTTGGTTTGGATTGCATTACAGTCCCTTCGACAAACAATGGCCATTTCAGAGCTAATGAGTGTAGGAGAGAGGATAATTTGGAGCAAAACTACATTCATCGGGGGTACATCCGCCGAGACTTAGCCCGCCCAGGAGAAGCTATGCGGGGTATGTATTCGGCACCTTAACCCCCCCCCCCCCCATGGGGCGTTTCACCCTACTCATGGCTGGGGCAGGAAGCTTACCACAGATAAACGGAGCGTCGCGAGCTGCAGAATGAAACGAGAATGAGGAAAGAAGGGCGGATGACCCTGTTGCTTTGCATTTCTCATTTTCACGGACGGCAAATACCCATGCTAGGGGTGTTAGCATATCAATTTAGCATTGCAAGGCTGTAAATACCTACTTGGGAGGGAAATCCAGTGGAGCTACTAACCCAGCAGCTTTCGACCCTGACCCCGTGAGCTGTACTCGCCTAGCGCAGGCGAGGTGTGAACTAATGGGCGTAAAGTGCCTCAACTTTCGCATCGCAGCTGCGACTGGCGTTTTCCCCCATCCTTGTCCTGGCCTGCCACCTTTCGATCCTGCTCTTAACCCATGGTTACGCCTTTCGCCGTAGGATGGCCGGCTATATTTTCTGGAACACGGAGATGAGCCGGGTATTTGGCCGCGCCGCATTCAGCATGCGGTGGCCAGCAGCGGCCTGTGGCCCACGCTGTATTATGGCTACCTGTTCAACCGCCACATCGAGTCGGTGAGCTAGTAAAAGGGCGGTACGTGGGGAAGGGGGGAGGGGGCGGGACCCGAGGGGTTTCGCTCCCGGCCAGCTCTGACGATGCTGGGATGCATGATGCTGGGTTTAAGCGAATAATGATAGAGCTCGTTCGTTGAGAATAAAGGGATGGAGGATACGGGGAACAATCAATTTTGGTGTTGTCGGACGTGTCAAATTCAATTACAGCACGCAAATTGGCAAAATCGCGCTGTGATAAAAAAATGTCTGAAAATCGCTGGACTCAGGTCAGATGTTTAGTAATGACGGAGACCAAAATCCTGGTTAAGGTTTGTAGGTATAGGTTTATACTACGCACTTTTCCGAAAAAGGATCAAAACTCAGGGTTCATGGGCCCGGGCTCGTAGGTGCAGTCATATGACACGCATACTTTCGAAGTTATGGCATTTAGCCTCTCGCATTATTGACTGAAATACCACGTCACATTGAAGTAGAAATTCAGTTAATTTTCATTGTCTATGTTGCGTCTGAAGCGCTAGCCTTTTTTAAACATCCATGGTTTTCACCGGTGACATCCGCAGCACGAGAAGACACGCGACTGTTGTCACAAACAAGGCCGCGGCTGCGCGAGACATGCGACTGTTGTCACAAACAAGGCCGTGGCTGCGCGAGAGATTTAGCAAACTATGCACTCACTGGCTTGCCGCTGGCGAATACTCCCTTAGGTTCACATTGGCCCGGAATGCGGCGGTTTTGCCTCATAACCACAAAATTAAAGGACATTTGAAAAATGGGTTAGGGCATCTCTTCTCCTTTATTTCTAAGAGCTGCAGAATTCTGCAAAGTAATTGTTGCATTCCTATTACTGTTGATATAACACATTGAGCTTATTGTGTCGAAGAATTTATGTAGTATTGTGAGCCAATGAAGTACTGTAGCGGTCCAGCTTAACACTTGAGTTCTACCTTAACCGTAGGTGGATAAAGTGAAGCTAAAATTTAGCGCCCGTTGAAGGTGATCTGTTAACAAAACAGGTGAACTAAATAAAAACAAATTCGTTAAATCGTTCAACAAGTTAACGGAACTTGTAATTCCTTTATTTATTGGTGATCTATTTACATGGTTTTTTCATATCTGTCAGTTCCTACACCAAGCTATGAGCTCGCATACATTTCACAATCGTACTATTGCCCTGCAAGGTTTAAACTAGAATTGAGGATTCGCTGCAGTTTTATATTCAAATCCTTCTGTTTCCATCTCAAACTGTTATACAGTTCGTTGGTTGGCATTTTGATTTGGATTTGGGGTACGAATAGCATCAAAAAAACTGAAGGGAAGTGAATGATTCCGTGAGCTGTTTCCCACGTTAAGGAAAGCGTTAATCCTCTTACACCAAATTGAACTAGTTAACAACACATAACACAACTTGGTCTAGCTTAACACTTCAACAGATCTGTGCCCTGATTTTAACAGTGGGAACGGTAGCGGGACACGGCCTTATTCTTCCCCTGCAGAACAATTGCCGAGAAGCATGGGAAAGGCGTCGAACAGCCGAAGGCGAGCGCGAGCTCTGGCATTTGCAGTGCAAGAAGAGCTGACTATTGAGAGGATTCGTGCGTGGTTTGTTTGGTGCACTGCTTCCCGGGAGTTATGAGAGTCATCTCAAGAAAATTTAGAATCGGTGTGTGATTTTTGCTTCTGTTCGTTTCACTATAGCGCGTGTGCATGCGCTCAACATTTAGCGTCTTTCTGAGGTTGCGGGGCAGTTCCCTATGGGCCAAAAGTTATTGGGGATACGCCTTTTACGTCCCTCCCCTGCCGGTGTCACTGCCACTGCCTCTAGCTGCACCACTGATGGCAACCTGAGGTCAACTGGTGATAGGGGTGATATATATATATATATATATATATATATATATATATACATATACACACACACACATATATATATATATATATATATATATATATATATATATATATATATATATATACATATGTAGGAGTGATTCCATTGACATACGCCTTCTTTGACCTAATGTGCATGTCCCAAGGCCCAGATATTTATGTTGCCGTCTTCCTCTCTAAGTTATTGAGTGCACAAGATTCGGACCCAGTAACTTCCTTTAATCTCCGAAGGTCAATGGCTACATGTACACCAAAAATGCGCTCGGTACTGTGATCACGAGTAGCAGCAAGCGTCCAGCGAAAGTCTCAGATCCGCCGAAGCACACTCTCATTTTGAACCCGATAAGGCTGGCGGCAACATGGACACATCATTAGGGAGGACGCCCAAAATGTCATTCTGTACACCGTCTTTGGTCGCCAGCATGGACATAGGTATTATAAGGAAAAGAACCTGGTAACTTCATCGCGTACACAGTTTGAACAGGCAAAATGAATGCATAATTAGGGAGCGAGCCCGAAAATCTCGTTCCATATCCCGTTTCTGCACTGATCTCAACGTCCAGCAACGCAGCCAATTGTGGCGTGATCGCGGCAGCATAAGGCTCTGTTCGGAAGACCAGCGGTTTGCCACGTCATCATGATCCGATGACGCGGCGTCACGCTCCGCTGCCGCCGGAGGGGTGCCGGCAGCAACACGGCCGCCCGATCTCACAGAGCGGGGAGCGGAGAGCGAGGCGCAGCCGCCGACGCCGCCGGCGGTGTACCACAGGCTGCAGAGGGCAGCACCGGCTTCAGCGGAATACCTATCACGCTGTTGTGCTGCGGCTGCTGTGCACCGAAGGCAGAAACGTACGCCCAGCAATGTGACGTCACCCTTAATACAGCAGCGGATGTGTATAACGCCAGTTTTATCCCGGGATCGTCCTTAGCGGAGCATTCTACTCCGGCACCCTGATCGTGGCAACTGCGTGCAACATGTCGACATCCCTTCTCGTGGCATCGTAAGTACAGCGTTGTGCACGTGCGCCATGTGCCGCACGGGTCAGGTCCATCATACAGTCGTTCAGCTGGACTGCGTTTCCGAGACTGAAGCTCGCCGGCGGAAATGGTCCTGCAATAACACTGTCTTACGCCAGCACAATGTGGGCGCTGTTAAATGTGGCGCGAAACTGGGGTGCCCTATATTCCATTGCGCAGGGAAATCAAGACCGCTAAAAACGGCACAATCCATAGCGAACATACTTTCAAACCGTTACGTTACATTGCTGTATCTCCCATGTACAGAGCGGATCCAAGAACAGCACACGTGTGGTTACACTGCAGCCCATGCAGCCCGCTGTCCTTTATGACCTGCACGTCGTCAGGCTGCTGGCGGTCCTGACCGTGGCCGCAGCCGGTCGCGCCGGCCGTGTGGGGCCCGGCCTGGCCGCCGTGCCCGGCAACAAGGCGGACCAGGGCGAACCGCTGCTGACCCCCGCGGCCGCCATCGCCGCCGCCGCCGCCGCAGGTCAGTCGGGGTCAGACGAAGGGCAGCAGAGATTACCTGGGGCCATTTGAAGGTCAGGGTGGGCTAGATGAGGTCAATGTTGAAGACAAGGAAGAGGCTGGTTCGGTTCAGTGTTGGAAGTCATGAGGAGACTGAATGATGCCAGTGCTGAAGATCAGGGGGTAAGCTGGGGCCAGTGTTGAAGATCAGGGGGTAAGCTGGAGTCAGTGTTGAAGATCAGGGGGTAAGCTGGGGCCAGTGTTGAAGATCAGGGGGTTAGCTGGGGCCAGTGTTGAAGATCAGGGGTCAGCTGGGGCCAGTGTTGAAGATCAGGGGGTAAGCTGGGGCCAGTGTTGAAGATCAGGGGGTAAGCTGGGGCCAGTGTTGAAGATCAGGGGTCAGCTGGGGCCAGTGCTGAAGATCAGGGGTCAGCTGGGGCCAGTGTTGAAGATCAGGGGGTTAGCTGGGGCCAGTGTTGAAGATCAGGGGTCAGCTGGGGCCAGTGTTGAAGATCAGGGGGTAAGCTGGGGTCAGTGTTGAAGATCAGGGGTTAGCTGGAGTCAGTGTTGAAGATCAGGGGGTTAGCTGGGGTCAGTGTTGAAGATGAAGGGGTAAACTGGGGCCAGTGTTGAAGATCAGGGGGTTAGCTGGGGCCAGTGTTGAAGGTCAAGGGGTTAGCTGGAGTCAGCGTTGAAGATCAGGGGTTGGCTGGGGCCAGTGTTGAAGGTCAGGGGGTTAGCTGGGACCAGTGTTGAAGATCAGGGGTTAGCTGGGGTCAGTGTTGAAGATCAGGGGGTTAGCTGGGGCGAGTGTTGAAGATCAGGGGGTTAACTGGGGCCAGTGTTGAAGATCAGGGGAGACTGGACGAGGTCAGCGTTGAAGATCAGGGGAGGCTAGCAGATTGGACATTTTAAAAAGTCTGTGAAAGGTCATCCAACGATCAGCTCGAGGGCATCGAAAGGCCTGGGTCGGTGTGCCGAGGGAGAGGTGACGGACAGGTGGGCGCCACTCAGGGCCAGCCGGACGTCAAAAGTTTCTGCTTAAGTCTAGGCGATTCTCAGCTGGTGATCGATGACCTTGAAATAGGGAAGGAGCATCTCAGTGGCACGAGAACTGCGAGTGACAGCGGCCGACCCCACCCCAGAACAATATCGAATTGTTTAAACGAAGGGTTCAGTATGCATTTGAACCTTATCCAACTTTTGAACTCCTAAGCGTTGACAAAAAAGTCAACACCAAATTGGCGCACCATTGCACGGCGTTATGTTAGAGTAGACTAAATCCTACCCAAAATATAATGCTTCACACAAGCCAGGCTGCTTCCTGGGACTCGGCCCACCCAACCGTGTTAATTTTTTTCCGTGCCTGTGGGATTTTCTGTGGTTAGCTGTTAATTGAAGGGATACATGAGACCCGCTGTGATGAACACGCAGAAGCCGTTCCTGGGGCGTGACGGGCGAGGTGTTAGCGCCTCCAGTTCCCATGTGTGTGTGTGTGTGTGTGTGTGTGTGTGTGTGTGTGTGTGTGTGTGTGTGTGTGTGTGTGTGTGTGTGTGTGTGTGTGTGTGTGTGTGTGTGTGTGTGTGTGTGTGTGTGTGTGTGTGTGTGTGTGTGTGTGTGTGGTGTGTGTGTGTGTGTGTGTGTGGTGTGTGTGTGTGGTGTGTGTGTGTGTGTGTGTGTGTGTGTGTGTGTGTGTGTGTGTGTGTGTGTGTGTGTGTGTGTGTGTGTGTGTGTGTGTGTGTGTGTGTGTGTGTGTGTGTGTGTGTGTGTGTGTGTGTGTGTGTGTGTGTGTGTGTGTGTGTGTGTGTGTGTGTGTGTGTGTGTGTGTGTGTGTGTGTGTGTGTGTGTGTGTGTGTGTGTGTGTGTGTGTGTGTGTGTGTGTGTGTGTGTGTGTGTGTGTGTGTGTGTGTGTGGTGTGTGTGTGTGTGTGTGTGTGTGTGTGTGTGTGGTGTGTGTGTGTGTGTGTGTGGTGTGTGTGTGTGTGTGTGTGTGTGTGGTGTGTGTGTGTGTGTGTGTGTGTGTGTGTGTGTGTGGTGTTGTGTGTGTGTGTGTGTGTGTGTGTGTGTGTGTGTGTGTGTGTGTGTGTGTGTGTGTGTGTGTGTGTGTGTGTGTGTGTGTGTGTGTGTGTGTGTGTGTGTGTGTGTGTGTGTGTGTGTGTGTGTGTGTGTGTGTGTGTGTGTGTGTGTGTGTGTGTGTGTGTGTGTGTGTGTGTGTGTGTGTGTGTGTGTGTGTGTGTGTGTCGTAAGGGGGAGGGCATGGCGTCAAACTCCAGCATCGTCGTGGCTCCTGACCGCTGGTAAAGCTAGCCCCTGCAGTTGTTGAGGCTCCATTAAAAAGTGCGCGATGACGTGCTTAGCGTTCCTTGAGAAAGACGCACGAAAGCCTTTAACTATTGTGAGCGGCGCTGCATCAGCAGAACGTCACCCGCCAGCACACACCGCGGCGAGGCAGAGTCTCAGGCAGACACAGGACAGACTTTGTGCTGCGCTCGCCGTTATCTAACCCTTGTATGCTGAAAGTAGGGTATTTGCATTAGTGTTTCTCATAAGCGCAGGAACGGAGGGGTGGGTTAGGGCGGGGGGGGGGGGGGGGGCATTACATCTCCACTTTCTGAGCATGCCGAGCATTAACCCTGTGGTGACGCATTTGAAGAATCGACTCCAAACATGGTTTGGCAGCCCCACGTTCTGACACGTGCCCGCGTCTACGGTGTTTCCGGTTTACCCCGCAGGTCTCAGCTCACCTACTGTGTGTTGCTATGCTGGCAGGCAGTCCCGGCGCTACGGTGCCGCCCAGCAGTCCTATCTCCGCCGTGCTGGGCACGTTTAACCCCAGCAGCGCCAACCACTCGACCTCGACCCAGGTCACGGCCGGGCCGAACGACTGCCGCACCGTCGCCTTCACGGTGGCCAAGGTCAACTATCAGAGGCGCAAGGCCGGCACGACGGGCACCCAGGTCACCGACTTCAGCGGGCTCGGGCAGCGCTGTGGCCTCAGCAGCAGTGCTGAACCCATAGCGCTGCCCAGGAATGGCGAATGGCGGTGTGGAACTCTCAGGGGGTAACTGCATGTAAAGCTATATTTGCTCTTGATAATTGCATATTTTGCATATCATTTTCAGACACACAACTGAGCTGCCTGGAAGTTACGAATGGTTTCACTAGAACGCGTAACGCTGTGAACGCTGTGCGGCTTCCACAGAGCCAGGGCTTTAATAGATGCCGTCTCCGAGAACAATTTGCATATAGCAAGTTTGTCGGCGTCCTATGAAATTAAAGCAGCTGTCCGCCCCACGCTCGTTGCAAGCGAACTTGAGTGAAAACTTTTGCCAGTTCGTATGGCATCTCTTAGAAAACATTTCACTGGCCTTACCTTAATTACACTTACCAGCATTAAGTCTCTGCGGCCTTTAGCATCATAAACTAAGTAGGCACAGCGCCTGATACATTTCAGCTGTTGTACGGCAGTGCTGATTTGCCAGGGCACCCCGCAGGTGGTATTTGACGACATGGTCACGAACGTCGGGCGCGGCTGGGACGCCGCCAGCTCGTCCTTCCGCTGCTCCTGCCCCGGGACGTACTTCTTCACATTTCACGTGCTGTCTCCCGCCCAGGGAAGAGCCAGGTGGGTCGGCGCCAGTTGGGTGTGGCAGTTGGGTGTTGGGTGTTGGGTGTTGGGTGTTGGGTGCTGGCGCCGGTTGGGTGTGGTGAGACAGAAGGCGGCTGTCGTCAACGCTTCAGGTTGTCGGTTTGAGCATGCTCGAGGTGCACTGTTGTTCATGGTGTATTTAGACTACATGTAGTAATAAAGTCGCCATTTATTCTTGTGCAATTCCTCGCCACATATTTTGTACGCGCTTGAATGTTGTGGATGTACATGTCGTTGTTGTTGGACATTCGCTTTTTAATTGTGCCGCATGGAAGTCAAAAATTTTGAATTGTGATTCAGATAATTGTAAAAAAGAAGGTCTTGCCTCGAGCGATTCCTCACGTCCATCTCAAGGTTAGTGATCAAATCCACTCAAATCTCTCATGTGTTTCACAAATGCAACCCAAAACCAAACACATAATATTTCAATGCATCCTTCGCTGCAAATATTTGACCCTTTCCAGAGGCTGAGAAATGTAAAGCAGTTTGTCCGCGGAAAGCCAGCTGAAAGTGCTGCACGCCAGCATGCCTGACCGCCGCTCGTGTCTCGCCACAGGGTGGACCTGATGCGGAACATGTGCCTGACCGCCGCTCGTGTCTCGCCGCAGGGTGTACATGATGCGGAACATGTGCCTGACTGCCGCTTGTGTCCCACCGCAGGGTGAACCTGATGCGGAACATGTGCCTGACTGCCGCTTGTGTCCCACCGCAGGGTGAACCTGATGCGGAACATGTGCCTGACTGCCGCTCGTGTCCCACCGCAGGGTGAACCTGATGCGGAACATGTGCATGACCGCCGCTCGTGTCCCACCGCAGGGTGGACCTGATGAGGAATACGCGCCGCGTCATCAGCGCCGAGGCCAATTACGGAGGGTTCGACACCGGCTCCAACTCGGCGGTCGTTCAGTTGGTCGGCGGCGACGTCGTCTACCTCTGGCTGGCCGAGGGCTACCTCTATGAGAACGACGCCCGCTTCCGTGGCTTCAACTCGCTGTCCGCGTACAAGATCGGCTGAGAACAACTTCCGCCTCCGAGCATAGCGGGATGGGATGCGGAGATGGCGACCTCTGTTAGGTAGAGCCATATGTCACTGTTTCCTGCGCAATGGGATGTTTTTAGGACCTTGTCTCATAAGACACACGCTGCGATGCCATTGGAGAGCACGATAGTCGAGGAAGTGGACTGCACGACGAACAGCGAACAGCTGGCAGACCAACCGGGAATTGGGATGTTTAGTGCCATCTGTGCTTGGCCGTGTATTTATCTTGCCGAATACACCGCTATTTGCTGACGAATTTCTTTGAGTTGGCACATCGAACCATCCCAGTGACCCACGTCCTGACCTTTTTCACAACCACCTCAAATTTTGTTCACAACACGCGGTTTGGAAACATTGCCAAAGAGCTCGTTGTGCGACGTGAGAAGATAGCGGGGACAACATACGCAAAAGTTCTCAGCCCGCAGTCAGAAAACTTTGACAACTGATTCCAATGGGCTCGGGCAATGCGTCAGGAAGTGTTTGTTATGCTTAGTTTAACGGTGGAGGTTTACTGATGCTCGGACTGATTTGACGTTCACGAGCTATTCGACAAACACCATTGCTTTGAAGCTGACTGGCTGTGGAGATGCCTTTACATGGGCTATGAGTCTGACCTGTTTGATCTGAGTGATTTGACAATTTTAATCGACGTTATCGATGAATCTGCAAAGATTTGCACCGTTGAAAATGGTGGCTATTAAGTCACCATCATACGAGTACGAGTACGAGATCATTCGAGCATCATACGATGCGAGCCACGCTTAAAAGTATTCCGCAAAATGCAAATATTTTGGGGCGAATAATGATCACAAACAATGAACTGGATAGCACACTAGTGCAGTTTCAGGGCCAATTCCCTTCCGATCTGGACCTGAGCCTCATGCATTTGATATGGACATTTGAGGTGGAAACTGACGTTGACCGCCTTGCTGTCGATTACTGGTACAGCTATGGGTCGACAGTGTTGGAATCCATTAGTTAGCTGTAGCCGGTACATTCGTCTATACCAAACAGATGATCTTATTTCCCGTCTCCATCTGTTCTAGTTGCTTATATCTGACATCATTTTTTGAGAAAGGTCCAAGCCGGCCAGACCCCAGATTTGTCATCATGTCGCATACCCGTCTGCATACAGCGACTCAGGCCTTTGTCAGTACGCTTGTTAGCATTTTCCTGCATTGGCGCTCATCAGTCCCATATCGCTGGGGTGCTGGGTCGTCGAGGTCAGCAGCTCTGGTGTCGACCAACGTTCCATAGTCTTTCGCAATGTTAGAGCTTTAATCACATCAATTCATTTCAAGTTAAAAGGAGTGTTCCCTATTTACGTGGGGTTTTGAACTGAAATAGCTATCAAAGACCTTTCGGTGGCGTTCACAATCCCGCCCTTTTGAAGACCTAAGCCACTCTAGTTTCTGAGCTATACAGCCGCGAAATTGGGGAACGGAATATCGAGGAAAATATTTCAAAGTGCCTCAGTATGCGTGACGTCATCATAACGCCATTAAAATCCTGCCATTCTATTAACCACGCGGCGATGAGGGCCAACATAATAATTGTCGAGGCATTTATATATGGCGTTCGTAAGAGCGGTTTTCTGACATAACGGCCGTCAAAGGGTACTCAAGCAATGTTGAGCAAGGTACGATGATGAAATAAAACTTGAATGCATTGAAGAGCGTATTTACTTAAGTTAGAATTGTGCTGCTTAAAGCAGTATTTTGCACCTTTTTCACGTTAGCCGCTATGTGGGAGCGAAATATTAATGATTTTTGATCAGGCAAGCAACGCCCATCTAATAAAACATTTGGCTCGCAAATATCTACTAACTGACACAAAGCAGCTTTTGAAACATTACCCTTGTTGTTCCAAGATTAGGAAGAAGAGCTATTAGATGTTAAAAGAGACCTCTTGATGGCAAAAACATCAGGTGTCCAAAAAGTCGTGAGGATATAGCTTTATCCTCTGGCGAACAAACGTATCGCTAAGCAGTCAGTAGCCCATCAACAACCAGACGAGCACTGAAGTGGCCAGAAACGCTCACGAGCAATCAAGGGTTTCCCTGCGTGACCAGTGAGCCTGGGTGACCACCAAAGACCCTGAGCGGCAGAAGGGAACAGACCCATCAGGGGCTTCCCACCAGCGCCAGCTATCACAGCCTGTCAGCGGCCAGAGGGCCTGAGCACACCGAGGGCCGAGAGAAGTCAATACCACCCCTGAACGGTTGTTGTCATCGTCGCTTTATGACGCCTTCAGCTGCTGGGGTTATATGGCGTCAGTTGCCTCTCACTTCTCAGGAAGGACGAGCTAAGTGACCTCGGAACTACCCAGAGCCCCTTTGACCGTTCTAGCGTAGTGGTTAAGACGCTCATCTGAGAAACCAGAGGTACGGTATTTGTTTCCCGCAGTGCTCGCCCTTCGTGCCAGGGTAACAGGAAGGCGACTTCCAAACTTGATACCTCTTCTGCCTGCTCTTGGGCCCCAGTCACTCTTCTGCCCGCTGTTGGGCCCCAGCTACTCTTCTGCCTGCTCTTGGCCCCCAGTTACCCTTCTGCCTGCTGTTGGGCCCAAGTTACCCTTCTGCCTGCTGTTGCCCCCCCCCCCCCTCCCCCCTCCAACCAAAAAAGAGCGCTCAGGACGCTTAGGGTTCTTAGAAATCGCCAAAGGCTCGCTCATCTGCCCAGTGTCCCCATGACCACTCCGGGGCCTATTAGCTGCTCAGGGGTTCGGCTGATTGCTATGGGCCGCTGTGGCCACTGAGGGGTCCTCTGGGCACTGAGATACCCTTCTGCGTTCTCAGGGGCTCCACGGTCTAACCAGGGCCATTTGAGGCGCTACTAGTTACGACGAAGATGTGCCTGGGATTGGATAACTTGAAAATAGTGGGTTAGGCACGAAAATAAGTGCAAGGAAAAAACATGCCATCATGGAGAAATAAAAGAGATCATCACGATGAGGAACGGCCAAAGCACGGGCACATAACGATATTTGGTTCATTTCACTTACAGGTCTTCCCAAATCACGTGTACTCGCGAGCCGAAATACTACATGTGAGTCAGCCCGTAAAATAGTGGCCATCCTGACGCGGCCAGCCTGGCAGCGACTCTGACGTCATACAATGGTTCCATGACATGACCGAAAGATGACGCATTAACACTCGCCCGGCTGGCCGGCTAGATACACCTTCGCTCGGGTGGGGAAGGGTCAATTTGACCCCCTGAGATCTCGGAAATTAAGAAAGCTAGAGGCACTAAATTTACAGGATGTGTTGACCTGTACGTGAATGCACTTGGGTTAACGTTTCAGGTTCTTAGGTCATGACCTTCGGGTCAAAAAGGTCAAACAGGGTCAAGTTCCAGGTTGGTCTTCAAAGTGCCCCCAGAACCTAGATAACCGTTTCTAAGCAAAATGTTACATTCTCATTCAAGGTCAGTGAACTTGTTCGACCTTTTGAAGGTCAAGGTGACTAAAATCATACAAGATTGCTTTGCGTTCTGCATTTGACTAAACGACAAAAATTACGTTGGACAGAATGTTCCTAAAGCAATATGTTGACCTGGGTCATTTTAGATCAATGACCTATTCTGACCTCTAAGAAGCCCATGGAAGGTGCATAATGCGGTTCCTGCTATCAATAAACCCGAAATTAGCACCAGAAACTATACCATATAGCAAGCCCAGGAGTAACAAAATAGATTGGTTTTTACCTTTATGTGACGTTCATACCTGACCTTAAGTCAATTTAATTTGCTCATACAAAGCGCTGTGTTGTTTAATAAAGCATCTCACAGATGTATGGCTTCGACTAACACTCCGTTGTTGGATCAGATTGAAGAATTCCCTAGAATTACCTTCGCTGAAACCATGGCCTGACGTTGACCTACCACAGGTCAGCGACCTTACAAGGTGCATCTAAATTTTTGGATGCCAAACGATCCGCTGTTCAATTGTCTACAGCTATGCAAAATTTGGCGCGACTACGCAGCGCCGTTCGGAAACCATTCCGGAAAAACCTTCGGGGGAGGGGTCAATTTGACTCCCCACCCGAGCGCGTGTTAAGAAGCAAACATTGCGTGATAGCAAGGTGGTTAGTGCATCGGACTCCCACGTGGGGGACCGGGCTCAAATCCTGGTTGTGCCATGCCTCCTGAGCGTATAGTCACTGCAGTCCCTGGTGCTCCATAAAAGAACGCCAGAACTAGTTCTGGTGGAGTAGTTAGGACTAATTAGTCATTTCTTGCCCAAAGTGGTATTTGTACTTTAAATGATACCAATAGTTAACGGCGAGTCTTTTTATGATACCTACAAGTGAGCTTTTCCATCATATCTGAAGTTTGCCCTAACATCTTCAGGTGCGGAACATTCTCTGCAAACAAATCACCCTTAGCCGTCTGCGAAGTTGGCATATTATCTTTTTTACGTGCCACCGTTTTGCAATTCACCATTTTGGTTTGTCGACTTTGTGATATGTGGCCCTTTTTTCGGTCATGTCGCCTTTCGGATTTTTGGCATGTTGCCGTTTCGCAATTCGCCATTTCGTCTTTTTGACTTTGTTGGCACGTCAGCTGTTTTACACGTCGCCAATATGAAATTCGTCATGTTGGTCGGTAACCAGAATCATTGGCACTTGACGCAGCTCTCATAAAATATCGAATAGTACTTACCCATTCCGCGTAGCCTTGGAAAATCTCGTGCTTTTGTTGTTGCCACTTGAGCTTGTCGTTCTTCATGCCGTCATTTGCCTTTTCGTCATTCTAGCATGTCACCAATTTATCTCACCACTATTAGCTGAAACATGAATCGTAAGCGGCTCAACGGCATTTAAACGTTTGTTATTTTGTAATCCGTCATTTAACAGTTCGCTATTTCGGCACGTCGCCATTCTTCCATGCCGCCATTTTGCAGTTCACCATTTGCTGATTCGATTTTTTGGCATGTCGACATTTTACATGTCACCAATATGGAGGTCGGTATATAGC